CTTCTTTTTTACCAAACTTGGAAGGTAATTTGATTTAACTGTTGTGAATGATTTAATTTCAACACTACTTAAGATTCCATTCAGCTTTGTCGCCATTGTCACTCTGGCTCCTTAGAATTTATTTACTTTTTTCCGCAAAGTTGCTGTTTCTTGATGGTAATCCACAACGATTTTTGATATGATTATTTAGGGATTTTCTCCTGCCTTTATGCCACTCAAATATAATCTATAAAATACACAGGACCAAAATCCTGTGGGGGAAATTGCCCCCACTAGACCCCTGGTGGCTCCCTCCCCTGGTTTGTTCCGTGGGTATAGTTCTCATTTTGAAACAGTTTGCCTGACAATCGAATGAAACATCCACCGCTATAAATTATCATCAAACATGTTCCTGGACCGTTTACATATTTCTTCAGTAAAATTAAATAGTAGAATGTTATCTTGAAGTAGGTGTGATAATCTTTGATTTGGAAAATCGATGAATTTAGCACTAATTATTAAGGAGAATATGCACAATAGGTACGTAAATCCCATCAGTCATCTTTTCCACAAGATAATTTTCTTCAAGCAGGAACCACATTTTCTTTTGCTGATAATGAACATATTCCTAAGCAAAAAATTTATAGTTCAAAATAATAATAATAATAATAATAATAATAATAATAATAATAATAATAATAATAATAATAATAATAATAAATTTAGAAAATCATGTTTGAATAAATGAGTAACGTGGAATTAAATTTGACCTAATTTTAACCACAACCAAACATATTGTTTTGTTCACTTGCTTATTCCCTTCAAAGTATCGTGTTAGTTTTTTTCCTACATTTTAAAATTAGCATGGACCTAATTAAATATGGAAGAAATGTATTTTAAGTGTGAAGAGATAACTCATATTTATGCTAAATTTATGGATAAAATATATAATAGAACTAACAAAAAAAAAAGGGTTATGACTGAGTTTGTTGAGAAAAATAGTTATTTTTGTATAATGAGCTACCATTATGAGATGACTCAAAAATTATTAGATTTCAGCAAAGATTTTAAGTAACGTTAACTCTCTATCAAAATTAAATAAAATTAATTTCAATAAAATAAGTAAAGATTTTAAGCTTTTAAATTATTAGATTTCAGCAACGTTAACTCTCTATCAAAATTAACACTAGACGTTTATTTATCACCAATAAACAATCGTCAATTAACATTCAATGAAGTTGAATAAAAATATCTCTACCATTATGAGATGACTCAAAATCAATTTGAGAATTATAAGAAACCAATAAATTATCTTTTCCAATTGATAAGACAGTGACCAACAATTTGTCTCGTTGTTTGACATGGAAAATCCATCATTGACCATTTCACAAAAATCTTCTTCTATAGAGTCACATATTGATTCACAGACTTAAATTTATTTATTCGTTTATTTCTGTTTTATATTTTTACTTGATTCATTCATTTAAAAAATCTTGTCAATTGTAATATTGAGTGACGTTCAATAATGTGTGACAAACATATATTTCATCTTTATAATTTATCGATCATATGAAAACACTAATAATGGGTTAAATGCATCAATAATCATTATACTTTCCACAATGTTTACCATTGGCCACTAATATTTAAAAACTATATAGTAGGAAGTTATCTCGAATTAAGTAACTTTGATAAACTTTTGAATATGTTCATTTATTATTAACTATGTTTTTGCTACATATGTTATCAATTACTAGCCATCATTTTTAGGACAACTTTACTCAGTAAAAAGGAATTTAACCTATAAATAAATTGTTTGGTAATCAATCAAACACAATACATAACGAAACTTTTTATATTAAAAATAGGATTTTTATTCACTTGAATTTTTGTCACTAATTTTCAATGGGAGCATGACATATATTTGTTCTCTTTCTTTCGTTTTATTTTTTCAAGGCCAAAAGATCATAGCAATACTTTGCTATCCATACACCAATAATTTCAACCTCTTTTTTCCTTTGCTCGACTAACCAGCTAGGATCACTTTTTTTGGGGCTTAATATGTCCAAACAATGAGACCCTGCAAAAGTAAGAGAACTTCACACACTTAGTTTGTGTGTATAGGCTATAAATAGAGATAGACATATACGTAAATGCTCATTAGAGCGATATTGACGTCTAAAGCTCAAATAAATGATCAAATTTAAAAGTGGTTTTTTCAAATTTAAAAGTCGTAATTTCAATTCATTTAAGATTGTCTTTTTACTAGCTAACAATGCATGCTAAATTGCCTGGCATAAAGACACCATTAACAGTAGTGACAGCAATGATAAATTGACGAAACAAAAATAAATTAACAAATTAATTAAATCAAATTATGATAATAATTTTCAAAACAATGTATTAAGGATAAAATATACAGATTTCGTTTATTACCCTCCTGTACTGTATGGGTCTCTTAAACCACTGGAGAAAATTATATAGCTCACGAATCGTCGTAAAATCAATTTATTATCCTGAAATTTGGAAACAAATAAATTACTTAACAAGAAAATATATCATAACTCGTGAGCCAGTAAATTAGAAATGACGTAAAAATAATTTATTATAATCATTAAAAGTTGGAAAGGGTTCGAACAACATACGTTGCCTTCAAGATAAGTTGTAATCCAATGTGGTCCAGGTGGGTCACCATATAAATACTTGCAGCCTGCGATAAATTGATGAAGTCGAAAGGCAGATGGAAACATTGTATCACTTATTCTTCTTCCAAAGAAGATATTCTTCTTCCAAAGAAGAAAAAAGGGCCAAAATTTCAAATAAATGAATATTAATGGATAGGTTTGTTAAGCACGAATTTTCTTTACATTAGGTCAAATATGTTGTATTCAATCTACAAATCATATTCAATAACAAATTTTCTTTACGTTAGGTCAAATACGTTGCATTCAATCTACAAGTCATATTCAATAACGAATTTTCCGAGTGAGTGTGATACAATGTGTCGCTTGTCTATATCTATATACCTTCCAATATTAGAGTCAATCGAGACTAAATTATATACTGAAAGGGATTATTTAGGATGGGCTAAATGAATGATAGAGACGTACGACTATTGAATGGTTATAATGCTCTATCTTTAAATATAAAGAAAGGTATATTGGACTGTTTACATAATTCTTCCGCAAAATAAATAGTAGAATGTTGTTCACAAAATGTTTCTTTCAATTTTAAAACCCACCGCAAGTGTACGGTTCGTTAACAAGTAGTAAAATGGACTATGAGTCCAAGTATCGTTCCCACGAGAATTGAATTAGTTCTAATTAGACTAATGTGACCTTAACCGAATCTAATTGAATGAAATTTTGATTTAAATGTGAAAACCCCTAATTGTGGGAGAAATCCCCAATTTGAAACCCTAATTGAAATCCCCCAACATTTCCTGCAACCATCTATGCGACCGCATAGATATAACCAACTATGTAGTCCTTACATTTTGGTCCCTGAACTTCCTTGTTGCTTCTCTTGACTTCTTTCTTCGATTTCTTCATCTTTTCAACAAATTTTTATCTTCCAATTGATGGTTGACACCATCAAATCTCATGCCACTCATTCGGCACATCTTTTGAGTATTTGCACCTTTAGTCCTCCATCTTTCAATTGTCTTCAATTCAGTCCCTTTTCACTTCTTTCTTCTTCCAATTGTTTTGCTTTGTCATTGAGCTCATACTTGGCATGTTGTTACTTTCATTTTGCATTTAGCTTAACTTCTCAATATTTGCACATTTGGTCCTCGAACTATCACTTTGTTGAATTTTGGTCCTTCTTCGGCTCTTTTCTCCTGAATTCCACAATTTCCATTGAAATACCTACATTGCATGAATTTAATAAGATTAAGCCACAATTCAACCACTTTATCCATGTTTAAGTCATGTTTGTGAACCAAATAAGTGTGTAAAAACTTACTTACCAAATGTTATCTTGAAGTAGGTGTGATAATTTTTTTATTTGGAAAATCGATGAATTTAGCACTAATTATTAAGGAAAAGATGCGCATTAGGTACGTACATCCCATCAGTCATAGTTTCCACTAGATAATTTTCTTCAACCAGGAACCACTTTTCTTTTTGCTGATAATGAACTTGTTCCTAAGCATAAAAGTCATAGTTAAAAAAAGTAAATTTTGAAAATTATTTTTGAAAAAAATGAGTAACATGAAATTATATTTGACCTAATTTTAAACACGGTCAAATGTATTGTTTTATTTACTTGCTTATTGCCTTCGAGGCAACACCCCTATATGATCTCCATTTTTTTCAAAACTCATTTTCATCCATATATTCTTCCATAAAAATAATTTTACACGTAAATTCAATATTTTTTCTTATTTTTTAACCATATTTCAAAACACATTTTATACGGGGGTGGGGTGTCAAAAATGGCATTATGCTAATTTTATCTCTACATTTTAAAACTAACATGGACCTCATTAAATGAGAAGTGATACTTGTGTTAAATTTATAGTTGGAATATCTAATAGAAACGTTCTCTACAAATAAAAAAAGTTATGACTGACTTTGTTGAGAATAATATTAATTTCTGTTTAATAATCTATTCTTTACCTAAAAAATTTTTAATAGCAAAAAATTAAATAATTTATAAGAAAAAGAGTTAGGAAAGGACGGCATTTTGTGAGTCGTTTAAAATGCTGTCCAAAAGCAATATTGGTGTCTCTTCCAACAATTCGAGAAGTATAAGAAACCAATGAATTATCTTTTCCAGTTGGTAAGACAAAGACCAACAATTTGTTTCTTTGGTTGACATAGAAAATTCATCATTGAACATTTCAACAACAACTTTCTTCTACGAATAGATTAATTTACAGACTTAAATTTATTTGTACCTTATTTCCTTTTTTAGTTGAATCATTTATTTAAAAATCTTGTTAATTGTAATATTGAGTCATGTTCAATAATATGTGACAAACATATATTTAATATTTACAATTTACCAATAATATAAAAAGTCAAAACACTGATGGTGGATTAAATACATTAATAACCACTATACTTTTCACAATGTTCACCGTTGGCCACTAATCTTTAAAAACTAAATAGTAGGAAGTTATCTTGAGTTAGGTAACTTTGATAAAGTATAAATATTGCGTTGTATTTATTATTAACTTTTTTTTTTTTGTAACATATATTATTAATTACTAGCCATCAGTTTTAGGTCATCTTTTCTACGTAAAAAGGAATTTAATCTATTACCAAATTGCTTGGAAATCGATCAAACTCACTACATAACGAAACTTTATATTCTAACTTTTTATATTAAAAATAGGATTTTTATTCACTTGAATTTTTGTCTACTAATTTTCAATGGGAGCACGACATATAGTTGGTCTCTCTCTTTCGTTTTATTTTTTTAAGGTCAAAAGATCAGCATAATACTTTGCCATCCATCCATCAATAATTTCAGCCTCTTTTTTCCTTTGCTTGACTAACCAGCTCGGATCACTTTTTTGGGGTTGAAGTATGTCCAAACAATGAGACCCTGCAAAATTAAGAGAATTTCTCCACGTACTTAATACGTGTATATAAGCTATATATAGAGATAGACAAATACATAAAACGCTCTAATGAGCGATATTGATGTTCAAAGCTCAAATAAATCATCAAATTATTTCAATTTTTAAAGTGGAATTTCAGTTCATTTAAGATTTTCTTTCACTAGCTTACAATGCATGCGTTGCAATTGCCTAAAATAAAGAACATACCATTAACAGTAGTGACAGCAATGACACTTTTCAATATGTCCTCAAGAACCCTATGATTTTGACAGACAAAAATAAATTAACAAATTAATTAAATCAAATTATTATAATAATAATTAAAACAATAAATTAAGGATAAATTAAAAGATTTCGTTTATTACCCTCCAGTACTGTATGGATCTCTTAAACCATTGGAGAAAATTATATTGCTTGCAAATCTTCGTAAAATCAATTTAATATCCTGAAATTTGGTAACAAATAAAATTATTTAACAAGAAAATATATCATAACTCGTAAGCCAGTAAAAATGATGTAAAAATAATTTATTATAATCATTAAAAGTTGGAAAGTGTTCGAACAACATACGTGGCCTCCAAAATAAGTTGTAACCCAATGGGGTCGAGGTGGGACACCATATAAGTCCTTGCAGTCTGCGATAAATTGATGCAAGTCGAAACGTGAAGGTGGAAACATTGTATCATTTTGTCCTCTTCCAATGGGCATCACCATCTCACTACAAGTCTAATGAAGAATAAAAAGGACAAAATTTCAAATAAATGAATATTATATAGGTTGTTTAAGGTCGAATTTTTTTTATGTTAGATCAAGTATGTTATATTCAATCTATGAGTCATATTCAATAACGAAATTTCTAGAGTGTGATACAATGTGTCACTTGTCCACTATAGAAAGAATTAATTGGACATAAATTAGTGATAAGATATATGAGGTTTGCTATTGTGATAGTGACAGGCCTGTGATAGGGCCCACTGACCCCCTCCAATAGGGGGCACCAAATTGGCGCCCTATCATAACCCCTGTTTAAGTAAAATTATTCGTATCTATATATTAGATAGTAAATATAACGTTAGATATTACATTATAGAGTTACTTGTGACTAAATTATATATTGGAAGGTCGAATCAAAACCAAGCATTGCAGTCAACAGTCGGCCGACCAGCAACAATCTTAAGAAAAATGATGACTCCATATAGACTAAGGGGGGTGAAATTAATTGAGACTTTTGAAAACTTTGATGAAATTCTTATAAGTGATGACTTTTATGAATTTCGTGGATCTTTTATGGATTTATATGGAATTAGTTAAAGTTTTTCGTAGACTTCTATTGATTTTCATTTTAAAATTTTTATAGACTTTTTATGGAATTTAAAAGACTTTTGAAGATTTTCATTTGAAATAGAATTCACGTGGATCTGATGTGAAATTCTTACATACGAGGTGATAGTTCACAATTTCCCTTTTCCTTCCCATATAATAAAAAAAATTTAAAAATAAAAATTTAAAACCTTAAATTAAATAAATAATAATCAAAATTACACACACACACACACACGATTCAATATTATTAGTATACTTTTAAAAATAAATAAAAATCAATATATTTAAATTAAATTATTAATTTTTCATATAAAATTTTATAAATTTTACAAAAAAAAGATATTTTTCACAAAAAAAAAAGAATGAAAAAAGAAAAAAAAAAGCTACAAGAATGCAATATAATTTTTTCATAGAACATAGAGATAAATAATAAGAGAGAGAGAAAAAGATAAATGAAATACAATAAATAGAAAAAAAATAAATTATAATCATACATGTCCATAGAAGGTTAAAGAAAAGAAAGATTCAAAAAAGAA